TAGAGATGATATGACAAGAAAATCTTTTAAGTCTTTAGAGTTTCTATGGCGTCTCTGTCGGTGGATTGTTCAGTGCATTGACCAATATCCAATTTTCCATGTTCAAAATATATGCTTTTGAATAAAAGATTTTTTACTAAAAAAATTCTAGCCCAGGAAATATAATATTTTTATAAAAAAATTTATTAATTTTTTATTTTTATTATATTTAATTAAATTTTTGTTAATTTTACTTTAAATAAATAAATTCTTATCATTAAACATCAATTAATTTCTGTTAATCAAAATAGCATCCATCGTATTTATATTCATATAACACTTGTGAAAGGTAAATTTATTATAAATATTATGTGATATAAAAATAATATGTGTTATTTTAATTAAATAATAATAATAATTAATAATATATTTAATTTAAAATAAAAATATAAAAATTTAATTAAATATATTAAAAATAAAAAAATTAAAACTTTCAATAACGTTTTTGCATATTATACCAAAAAAAACATATTAAAAGATTTTTATAAGATAAGAATAGACCAAACTTGATTCTATCAAACAATCTTGAACTATTTCCTACGGCTCTATGATTTTTCTTAGATAAGAATAATCTTCATTGCTAAAACACAATGGATTTTTATTTTATATAAAAATAAAAATATGATATATATATTTGTGTTTAAAAGTTTAAAGAATAATTACTTATCAATAAAATTTAAAGAATAATTTTATTATTCTCTTATTGGTCAAAATATGAAAATCTTTTTTATGGATAAGTGAAAATATAAAAATTAAATTATTATTAAACAAATCAATCTACTTCTATGTACCAACAAAAAAGAAATGAATCCACTTTTAAGGATGTACAAAATATGATATATAGGAACAACTTGAAATAAGTTCAACTGTGTTTTCATCCTATTAGCATGTACCCTAAGTATGAATTATTAATGTATTATTTTAATATAAATGTATAAAATATATAATGTGTAATATATATTTAAGATTTATTTACAACCATGTAAATAAATCTCAAACTTTTAATCATTGGTGGATCAAATTTGAACCAGTTCATATGACAACCTTCAGTTTAACTTTATTTAATTGTGGGCTAAACTATTGAATTGGTTGAGTTGGCCCAATTTGACCATCTCTAAAATGAGCAAATAAATAGAAAAGTAAGAAATGATTTGTGTATTCCAATTTATCCTCTACATTAGAGATAGAGTTTTAAATGTGTTCCATTGAGCATATTTATGAAAATTAATAATTAATTAATTACATCTAATCTCTTTCATGAAACTCAAAAACTCCACTAATGTATAAAGTAATAATACCTTTAATATGCTTTTTTTAAAAAAGTAGCTTTTAATGTTCATCTATAACTTACTTTAAAAATTATGATTTTTTTTTTAAAAAAATTATGATTATTTATTTTTGAGATTTTTCAACTTTTAAATTCATTTATATTGAAGTTATAACATTTGGTTCACTAATCCTATATAGAATTTATGCATTGACAAATATATCAAATATAAACTCATTTCTTATTATTTAATCTTGATTTGAATAATAAAAGATTAACAGCACATGGGTCCCAAAAAGAGATCAATAGATCTTTCCATATGCCACACACACACACACACACACACACACACATATATATATATATATATATATATAAGGTCTCTATTATATAACTAAACATAATATGCAATGGTAAAAGTATTCAATTAATTTTTATATCTATGCATTTTCTTCAATTTAGTCTTTGACATTATTTCTTTTAATGATAAAATTAGATGATATCAGGAAAAAAGATTAAATTATTCTAATTTTTAAAATTAATAGACTAAATTATTTTGATTTTAAATATAAAAATTAAATTCAAAAATATATATGAATATAGAATTGTTTAAATACTTTAATTGTTTCAGCACGAAAATTTTCACTTTTTGTGATGCAAAAAAAAATTTACTTCAATGAACATAGTGAAGTTGAAGTTAAAGGTTGAAGATCAAAAAAAAGAAAGCATTAGGAACGTGCATGCCAAGTTTGTACTTGCATCTGCATCACATGTAAGATTAAGATTAAGATTGAGTTAATGGGCTTGCGCCTAAAAGGACAGATGGCCCTTTACCAATTATTTCACCTTTACACTTTTAGGTCTATTGCCTATCTAACACCACCTTTGATGAAACCACAAGAGCCCCTTTGTTTCCTCTGGTATTTCTACCGCTTGTATTGTGTTGTTATTGAAGTTTCATTTGACCTTTTAACGTGAACTCTCAATAAATTTACTGACAACATATTCAGGCCAGACAAATACATCCTTGACTCACACCATGACCATCTCATATATTTTCTTAACTGGTTCAAGCCCATCCCTATTTGAAAAGAATGGCTTACAATGTATCAGAAGTTCTGTGGGAATCTCAAATATATTCTCATCATAGTTCACAAGCTCTACAACTATACAGATGCTATCCAATACTTCCCATATACAACCGTCTTCTCTAATGTGCAACCTTATAAGGTAGTTGAATCGAAGGGCAATTTTTCTCAACCTAAGTTGACATTTATTGTCTATCAGTGTAAGCAGTGGATTCATTCATAAAGGGACATTATCATCATTTATTGAATTATCATCAAAGGAGGCAACAATGCTGCTGGAGTACACTACAAAATAAGTTATTTTGTCTTGTAATGGAGTTTAAATCGCCCGTATTCAGTATCCAACAAAACATGAATCCAGAACTCAATCCATTTAATGCCATAAATGAACTCAATAGGACACTACCAAGCTTCCCATATATATGTAAGATATGTAAACTTGTAATCTTTGCTCTCATTTAATTTGATATAATTCAACAAAACGGATTGATAAGGTTTTTTAAAGATATAATTTAGCTTATATTCGACAACCTTATCATTTAGGTTATGAAATTTGAGATGCCTTGGCAGAATGAAAGTGGCTTCGAAGTACCTGAATGACTTAAATTCAATCACAAATGGAGGCAACAATGCTGCTGCAGTACACTACAAAATAAGTTTTTTTTGTCTTGTAGTGGAGTTTAACTCGCCCGTGTTCAGTATCCGACCAAACATAAATCCAAAACTCAATCCATTTAATGTCATAAACGTACTAAATAGGACACTACCGAGCTTCCCATATAAATGCAATATACATATATGTATAATTAAAAATAATAATAAATATCAATTAAACGAAATTTTAATTAAATTGTTGAGAAGTAGAATTGTAAGGATTTGTGTGGCGTTTGGTATTTTACTGAAAATATAATTATTGAAAAAATAATTTTATCCCGTTTTTTTAACACAAAAAAGTAATGATTATTGTGAATGTGATTGTAATATAGTGTTTGATTTGAAAATGCTTTGCTGAAAATATTATGTAAATTTATAAAATTATATATGAAAATATAAAGTTGAATAAATTTATATTCTTTTTTCAATGTAAATTTTTAACTTTCTTATGTTATCTCTTAAATTAATAAATAATAACATGATAAATATAATATAATATTTATATATTAATTATTCTAATACTAAAATATGTGACATTACTAATTATTTATTTTTATTAAATTAATTAATTTAAATTATTTGACAAAAATATTAGTTAATTAATTTAATTAACTTAAAATAAGTAATCAACTAATATTGGAATTGTAACATGGGTACCTTTTCTTCAAGTTATATCTGGATATCTAAGTGGTCAGACAATCCACCACTTTTATTTTCTTTTTTTTCCCTCTTGTTTCTTCGTGCACAGTCGTACCTATGGCCTCTTCTTCCTTTTTTGTTCTTCCTCATTGTTACTATCACCGGATTCAAATGGCACCCCTCTCTCCTCCCCAGCGTCCAGCCTGAAAGGCATTTCGTCTCATAGTTGGAATCTGATACTAATGTAAATTTACGTTCTCAACAACGTAAAGTGCTAAAGGACGTAAACTGTTTTCCACTGATTAAAATTCTTATAAAGTCATTCACTCTTCACCAACCCAATCTCACAAAAGGGTTCTTATCGGTTATAATGACCTGAAAACCTGACAGGATAGACAGGATGCTTACATGTGTCCTTGTCGGGCATGTGTGGGGAGAGATAAGTTGCCACTTGACCTTGCTAATAATTGGTTTTGAAACTTTAAGATGCCTTTGGCAGAACGAAAATGGATTCAATTCAATCATCAATTAGTCACTCCGTTGGGTTCTTTTACGATTAATTCAAAAAATAAACAAAAATAAAAATCGCAGTAGATCTACTAGGAACAAAACTTTGCGTCGCTGATCAATTAAGTATTAAAACTTGGTCGTAATAAGGTAAATATACCAATTGGCTGCTACATTTTAATTTGGCAATCATTGAAAATTTGATTTGACCTTTGTAACTATATTTAAGGGAAAAAATGGAAGGCTATATCTTGCAATGGTCGTAATAAACCTTTGTAAGATACAGACAACATAGAGCTAAACAGATGTCAACTATATATATGAAGTTCCCTGAGTACGCAGGGAAAAAAAAAGTAGTAGTTTATGATAGTAATACGACTAGACTTGATAATTATTAATTATTTAATGTGAAGGAAAGTTCAAAGACAACTCAATAAAAGGTAAGTTTTCCCATTTTTTTTTCAATGAAACTTTGCATGACAGAAATCCAGGAAATGTCATAGAAATTTCGGGACACTTTGACCTAAAACCAGAATTCCTTGTCTTGTGTTAAAAAGCTTAACTTGTGTGACCGGTAAATATGTCAAAATGAGCCTGACTCATTGAATTTATCTATTTTTATTAAATATGTGGTAGATTGGGTTTAAAAATTTAAGTTCATATTAGAATCGGATCTAAATGGGTCAACCCATTATATTAGTGGGTTGAGATAGATTGGGGCGAGCCAACCCTGTCAGGTAAACAAAATTAATAATTTTAATTAATTTATTAATTTTTTATATTTAATTATATAAAATTAATAATTTAATTACTAATGATATTGTATATTTTATATATTTTAATATCTTTAATCTTTACTTGTTAAATTAATAATTTTAATTTTGATTAAAACTTAATATCTCTTTTGACAATGAATATTAGATGATAAATTGATAATTATTTAAATCTTGAGATATTATTGTTATCTAAATAAGATTTAAATGTTTTGTTTGAGAATAAGGATGGATGAGGATATAAATGAGTTTTGAAAGTTTTACTATTTGGTTATATACTTATATTTATGAGATGATAGTTTGTATTAAAATTTTAAATTTTATTTATGTAATTTATTTATTTACTTATATTTTGTATAATTTGTTTATTTATAATATATTTTTATTATTTAATTTATAAATTAAATCATAAAACAATTTTACTGATAAAAAACTAATTAAGTAAAATTATAAAAATAATTTTTTTTAAAAGAAAAATGAACTAACCTAACCATATCCATGGGCTAACAAGAGTTGGACTAAATTGAAGTTTTGATGACTTATAAATGAAAAATGGATTGATTTAACTCAATTTATATTTTTTCAACCTAGAAAGGCTTGAGCCGGGTTAAACTGGATAAGCCCATATTGATACCTTCAGTGACAGGAATCAAGTTTGTTGCCTATTATTCAGTGAGAAGCAACTGTCCCCACTCACAATTATTTCTGATTGGATAAATTCATAATAAAGTCATATAGTATCTATCTTAAAGACAGAGAGTTTTACAAAGTCATATAGAGCATACAAGCGAGGACAGTACATTAATTAAAGCTAAAGTGACATCTGAACCCGTACCTAAAATAGCATTTAATTTCTGGGTAGAAAATCAAGACCTTATCTCTCCCTTGATGAAATATGGGCCCGCAATGGAGTCTTCATCACTATTGTGAACTCCTGCTTCTCCTCCAGGCTAATCTCATCTCCATCCATGGCCT